TCTTGGGATTATCTTCAACCTTATCTGCCAGATCCATCTCATACCATCCTTTTGCTCTTCTGATTTCCCTCTTGGGTGTGTTCCTACACTTTTTATAGTCATCTAGGGATTCACTCGAGCCTGATAGCTTAAACCTAATGTATGCTGCCTTCTTTTTCCTGACCAGAATCTCAATATCCCTCGTTAGCCGGGGATCCCTAAACCTGCCAGCTTTTCCCTTCACCCAAACAGGGACACACTGTCCCTGGACTCTTGATATCATACTTTTAGAAGCCTCCCATTTGCCAGTCGTTCCTTTGCCTTGAAACAAACTCACCCAATCGACCTGTGCTAGATCCTGCTTAATGGCCCCAGCATTGGCCCTGCTCCAGTTTAGCACCTTAACCTGTGGAACTGTCCTATCTTTTTCCATAACTATGTCAAAACTAAGAGTGTTATGGTCACTTGACCCGAAAAGCTCTCCGACTGATACTTCAGTCACTTACCCGACCTCGTTTGCTAAGAGGAGATCCAGTGTTGCACAAGTAGGGCCATTGACATATTGATTTAGGAAACTTTCTTGGACACATTTGACAAATTCCGTCCCATCTGGGCCTTTTACACTCTGGGTGGCCCAGTCAATACAGGGAAAATTAAAGTCGCCAACCAATACTGCACTATTATTCCTACAGGGATCTGCACTTCCTCTATTACCCGCTGGCAATTTGGGGGTCTGTAATACAGTCCCAATGGAATGACCATCCCTCCTTGTTCCTAAGCTGTAACCATATGGCCTCATTTGATGATCTCTTAAGAATATACTCTCTAAGCACTATTATTATGTCCTCCCTTATCAAAAGGGCAAATCCCCCTCTTTACTTGTACTTCTGTCAATCCCACTTGTTCTCCATACTGACCTCTCTCGTCATTCCTGGAGGCTTTCCGTTTTGAATCTGTTCCAGATTTTCCAAGGTTGAAAATTGATTTCCATTTCTTCACCTTTAGTGATCCCTTCCTCCTAGTTATGAGGCAGGACAATAAACAATTATTCCATACATAAATTACACCAGACAACTCGATTGTAACTCCCTCCCGGGTATCTGTTATTCTGTATATAACCCACCCTG